GCTTTACATATACATATTTCAAACATGACCACTTAGTCAAATATATAAACTATTTTTATACCCTGACCCTGAACCCATTTTTAATGGGAAAACGGGGTATAATGGTTTTGTTAAATGTAACAGGCAGATGGAGGTGTGGTAGACCCCACAAAGTATATATATTTATGATCAGGGCGGCGAGCTGAGTCGCTTTAGCCCTGTCCGTCTGTCTGACCGTCCGTATGTATGAACGCGTCGATCTCAGAAGATATAAGAGCTAGAGACTTGATATTTACGCGCATATCTATTTTCTACAAAAATAGATAACTATTCCAGATATTTTGTTATCGATTAAAAACCTAATCGAAAACTAGTTATTTAATTATATCTCTTACACCTTTAGAGGTAGAGTCCGCAAATTTTAAATGTAAACTCATATGTATTTTATAGAATTTTGATTTTTGTTGTAATTTACCTCCCACACCTATATCCATCCCCTCACCAACACCTTTGTAAAAGGCGTACTTCAAATAGTACTAGAGACCGTTTTTCTGTGTTTTGTGTGTTTCTTGTGTAAGCAGAAAGACGCGAAGAGTTATTGTGATATATCAATTCTTCGAAGGGTTCAGGGGATTTCGTAGTCGAGCAGTCTCGATTAGAACTTTCTTACTTGTTTCTCAGTAAAGTTAATACAGAATATATTTGATGCTGCAACATACCTAAATCCAAATTGGACATGTCCAGCAGTGGCCAGTCCTTACGCTGAGGAGTCACCTTGGTCTTCTTGCTGGCACTGGTGGTACCAGTGCTGGGCCTCTTCACTGCGACTGCAGGTGGAGCAGAGTCTGTTGATTGTGTGTCAACATCCTGTTCAATGTTGGCCAAGAYCTGGCGCGGCAGCTTGTTCATGTGCACTGCACGCACGTTCTTTGTGTATCCATCGTCGAATAGCACCTCGTATGTGTCGTTGCCCAGCAGTTTTTTGATAGTGCCTGGAAATTTTCGCGGTCCCGACCAGCGCGCCATGCATTTCTCCTCCAACTCAAAGATGGGTAAGACGCGAGAGCTGATGCGCTGACGCAGACGGTCCGATTTGAAAGCGATCCATTCTTGGTTGCCGCCGCTTGTCGAGGGTGACACCTTCAACTTGTTGTTGCGCTCGAATCGTATCAGTAGAGTCTGCTCTGATTCATTGACTTCGACAATACGTGCTGGCAGCCAAGCTCCATCCGCGCTCAACGCCTCTAGACGAGCGCCAATCGCCATGTTCGTGGGCAAGCCATATTTGGGTGGCGAATTCGAAAGTGGGGAACACGTGTTGCTAGCAGCAGGAACTGCTTCACTAGCCAAATCAGTTGAAGTGGCTGTTGCCTCGTTGGAGGAAACAACTATTGTGCTCCCTACAGA